GAACACTGAAAGGTCGTCATTGATTAACCTTACTTTCAGCAGGTCCTCCACGGAGTACAGTGATCCAACCTCCTCGTTCGTCTTGAAGTACTGATCGAAGAGGTAGAGCACCTGCCGTCCTCGTACCGCCCTGAATTTCGCCGCTTCTGTCTCCTTAAAAATGAGGATTTCTCGGGAGAGTTCTCCCCTAGCGACTTTGGTGAGTGCAGCAAGAAGTTTCGTGTCAAGGGTGAGGAATTTCTCGGGGTCTCGAAGGGATTCCTGCGATGCGTCTTTGTCGTAGGCCTTCATCACCCATTTAAACGCCTCATCAGGTGAATCTGATGCTGCCCTGACCGCTTCCCTAGCTGCCGTTTTCCACGAACGATACGACTCTGGACTTGGAAACTCCGGAAGGCTGATAGACTCTGCTTCTTTCACTTTGGGTTTGTCAGCATCGGTTTTGCTCTCACCCCTTATGTTTCTTAGGCTTTGAAGAATTGCCATTTGGGTCTCTAGGAGACCTGTGTTGAAAGCATCCGTCCCTGGCGTGCCGGAATCGGCCGCTGGAGGGGCCGCTGTTCCTGGCGCTGCCTGGGAAGGTCCTGCCTTGGGGATTGAAGATGCTGTTGCAGACGGAATGGACTGAGCATTCAAACCTCCTGGATTCATTGACTCGAACAGACATCTGGCGCCTTGGGGGATAACGTTCGGCATTGAGAACATGGGCGCTTGAGGAGCTTTGGGGACGACAGAAGGACCTGCAGGGGTGCTTGGAGCAGGCACTGGCTGACTCTTTGGAGTAGCTGGATTGTACTGATCCAAGACCTTCTCTAGTGCAGTTTCCGCAGAATCCAACTTGTCCTGAAGCTCTTCATTCTGTTCCCTACATACAGCAAGGGACGCCTCATACTCTTCTTTCTGCCTGTTCCTAAACAACTCAAAGTGTGCTTGGAACTGTTCAACCATGACTTCCTGGGAATTCTCGATGTGCCGTCTCGCCTGTTCTTCGAGGTTCTGTGCAAAGCGTGATTCCGCCAAATGTTGATCCAATGCGTCTGTGATTCGGCTGTTTTGAAGTTCCGCTAACTCTTGACGCAACCTTTGATCTTCATCATAGGAATGCGCTTGACTCAAAGTCATTTCCGACAACAGGAGCCTTTCACGATTTGCCGCCTTGAACTCGCTTTGTGCCAAGGCTGCTTGCAGTTCTGCTACCACTTCAAGGTGGTTTCGTTCTGCTCTGTGCTCCAAGTCGGCTGTGTGAATTGCGGATGCTTCTTGATAGGTCAGCATGTGTTGCCTGTGTCTTGCTTCTGCCTGAGCCTCTAGTTCTCCGACTTCCAGTCTGATCTGGTTAACGTGTACTTCAACACTATACTGTGGTGCGAAGACGTTGAATTGTTGGACTGAGGCTGGTGCCGGGAAAACTAAGCCGGGGGCGCCGCTCCCTGTATGGCCACCCGTGACCGGGGGCTGTAAAGGGTTCACGGTGCTTGTAACTGTATCCATACTTGCAGGAATAAGTTCCGGTTCGCTCATGCGCTGATTGATTGTATTGTAACCAACCAGTTGTGACCAGGCCGTAGGCTATACGGCTGATAACCTATAGTTGTTGTAAGCCACTGCACACACGCACTGTTGTATATACCCGTCCAAGTGTTTACAAGCAGCGCAATACCATTAGGCAACTACGCACTTTTCCTGTAAGAGCACTTGTGCCACAATGCCGTACACACAACATGCTACTTCACACGTGCACAAATTACAAGCTCTAACTCTTAACCATGCCGGCGCACTGGGCTCATCTCCAGAACCCGGGGGCAGCGAGCTGCTCCTGTAGAAGACCCGCCCCCATACAGTAAGTAACAGTCCATCAAGAAGGGTACTGGTAAGGGCCTCATGTATCCATACTGTACATCTTTTGCAGCTGTTAGAGTGGAGCAGCATCCAACATCATTGGGGAACTAGGGCTTCAGGGTCAGGCTTGAGGGTGAGCCTAGTTTTATGGGCAAGACTCGCAGGCTCAGGACCACAGGGGCTCACTGAAGAGGTCCTTGAAGGACGCTGGCAAGGGATCGGCTTGGGGTTTAGGGTTTGGCGCATGCTTGGAAACTGCAGAAACTTGACTTTCCGTAACCTGCTCTACTGTAAGGTCCCAATACAAATCCTGGTCCTAGTGCAGTGGATAGGGGCGCGACGAAAGGTTGCCGGAGTAGGCTGTCGGGTTTCTGGAGTGAGGACCAAGTAAAGGGGCGACCTGCTCGATTTAGGCACTCCGAACTTTCCTCAGATCATGTTGGAGTTGCAGTAGCCTGTAACACCAGGAAGAACCAAGCAATGACAAATTAACAACAGCAGCACCCACAGCCCAGTCCCAGCCCCAGCCCCACAGCCGCAGCAACAGCAATCGTAGTGCTCTTTGTAGCCATCGTCGTCATGGCAGCCATCGCAGTCGTAGTCATAGTCGCAGAGGCACTGGTAAATAGTAGTTATAATAAGCATGGATATGATAGCAGCACTTTGTTACAACTTCAACGTAGTCTTAATGATAGCCGGGTGAGTTTGACAACCTTCGAGGCAGCCAGTGAAGTCTAACCGCAAAGCCCGGGATGAGCCAGGGTCCTGCTGCCGTCGCAGAGCGTCGTTAGCATCTTCACGAAGGGAGTATGATCCTGCAAGGATGTTTTGCCGAGACTTTTTGCGACCAAGTTTTAGGTCTTACTATAGTAACTAGACTCAAAGCCTGCAGTCCTATTCTTTTTTGTTCTTCCTACACACCAGGATCTTTCCTCAAACCCTACCAGTACAGCCAGAAAACCCAGACCTTCCGTCGCAAACCTCGAAAGCCTTAATTCACCTCAGCCTAAACCTAAACAGGCACCTTAAAGCCTAAACCCCTAAACCCAAAATGCTAAACCCCCAACAGACACGAGCCTCCACCGGCTCCTAGTACAAGGATCAGATATAGAAGCTTCCAACACTGCAAAAACCAATACTCGTCCTAAGGGGCTTCTCAATAATTACGAAAGTATACCCCAAGTCCTACTCAACCTATCATGGGCCCTTTATTCGCGGGCTTGAGCAATTACAAGGCATTCTGTGCAACACTCCTTGCTTGTTGGATAGGCCTTGGTGCGCACTGCTCTTCTGCCATGCAACATACTGCGGCCCCTTTACTCCCCAAACATGCATTATCTTGATCCTTTAGCGACTGCAGCAGAGGCACGAAAAATGCATTCAGGGCTGCTTTAAAATTGACACGCCCAATTAAGCCCGAAGCCCGGGAAACCCTAGGCTGTGATTCTGTAAACCTTATCAGTCCTGAAAGCCCTAACAGTACAAGCCTTGAAACCCTGAAACCCCCGATACAAACCTTGTAGAACCTACAAGGCCCCAGAAAATGAAAAGCAAACCCTAACACCCCCCCCCCCCCCCCCCGAAGAAAAAACAAAAAACCTACACCCTGAAACCCCAAATCCTGAAACTTGGGAAAACCCTAAACCCTAAACCCTAAGTCGTCCTGTCTATCTCCCTCCTCGATCTGCCCAGTGGAAGCGCAGTGCTTAAACCTGGGAAGCTCCGTCTGCTCGCGCCTTTTTGGGGTTTTAGGTTTATCGTGACCCCACATCTAAAGGGGCGTCCCCTAAACCCTAAGCCCTAATACCCCAGCAGCTTAGAGACCTAAACCCAAAACCCTGAGCATCAGACGAGAGACAAAGAGCTTCGACAGAGAGACAAACTGCTTCAAGTTCTTAAGATTTTCGGGAGGGTTTAGAGCCTTTGACAGTTTGAGCATGTAGGTCGCATTTAATATAGCTTGAGAGCTTTAGGGCTTCGCGGAGTTCAGGGGCCCATGGGAGGGGAGAAAATTCGGGCTTCCAGTGTGGCTAGCGGTGATTGTAGGAACAACTTCGATTAAGGCAGAAGCCAGAAAATTGGAAGATCATTAGCCTCATGCCCGTACAGTAAAGCAATTTTGGGAATCACAGCATGAATCCTCTTTCCAACTTTCTGGGGTTCACTGTAAACAAATTCTGTACGTAGGCCTGATTCTGCTACGTGCCTCTGGAGATACACTGCCAGAGTGAAGTGGGCAGCGTTCTTGCACATGTAGACTTGGGCATTGTAAACCCTGAAGCCCTCAATGCGAAACCGCCCCTTTTAGCGAGGCAATCGGACGGCACCAAAACCACAAGCCCTCATGCTCCCATCTACCCATATCGTATATACTTATAAGGCCTTAAAGTATAGACTTTACGGCCTAAGTACATGGGTGGTTGTCAAAATTAGGGTCCCTTTTTGGGTACCCTAAGTATCAGGTGCCGTATCATATTAGGGCCCCAAAAGGGGACCATAACTTTGACAACCACCCACATGCTACCATGGGCACAGCAATGGGCACATGGAGCCTTAAGGGAAAATCCGGCCCCGATCTCGAAAGATCTTGACTTGGAGCTTCGAGTTTGGGGCTTCAGGTTATTTAAGGCTTTAATGTTTAGGGTTTAGGCTTTACTGTTTCGGGTTTGGTCTTTGATGTTTAGGGTTTAGGGTTTGGGGCTTAGGATGGTTTAGGGTTTAGGCTTTAATGTTTAGGGTTTAGGGTTTGGGGCTTAGGATGGTTTAGGGTTTAGGGCTTTAGGACTGGAAGGTAGCAGCCCCGACAATCCTGAGCCCTCCAACTTCGAAGGAAGGGAAGAGCAACATCGGACTTCCCCCATGTCTCCACTGCCTACTAAGCCCTAAACCAAAACCCCAGACCCGAAACCTTATCCCTGAACCCCTGAATCCTAAACCATCAACCTTGCAGATCTATTGGCAGGGAATGAGCTTCCAGCAGGATGGATGAAGTAGGCTTAGTTGGGGCCATGTGCTGAGAAGGCTCTTCTGGGTACTTCAACCAATTCCTCAAGGCTCGCTTTAACGGTTCTTGACAAATTTCTGCGAGGGTTCTACAAGGGTGGGGAGTAGTGCCTGATAGGGTTTGGGCTTTAGGCATGGCAGGCTGTGAACTGTGTTGCTCAGGGCTCTGGCCCTGCATCCCAGGCATCGAACACAGCGGCGGTGAACTCGCAACAGGCATCCTGTTTCGGCCCACTTTTAAGAAGTAGTTGCTGCAATCTCGGGTTCCTTTAAGTTCCTGTAAGGGGGCGCAAGGCTCCAAACCCCAAAGCCTAAACCTTAAACCCTGAAGCCTGAATCCAATGCCCTCTTACTTGACCCGTGATTGAGGACCACCAGGCGGAACATCAACAGAATTTGGAATTGCTTCAGAGCTGTTCCGTCTTACAGCCGCCAGAATGCTATAGCCTTGGGTTCGGAGGCGATCGGGCTAGCCCTCCTGAACCTCATGGCGTCCGGTGGCACTGCCGCTGTCACATCTGCCAGACGGTACAGAAGGTGGTGCCTAAACCCTGAACCTGTGGGGACTAGAAGGGGATACTTCGTGCACTAATTATTCAGAACACCCCTTAAGTCCAAGGCCACGGCCTCAAGAATGCAAATACACAGTTTAACTTACACTGGTGTTCGGTGGTCTTCACGGTGCGCTTTACAGCCGAAGGCACGACAATGTGGGATTTGGCGGCTTAGTACAGCTATATGTTGTCATGTTGTTCCTTGCCTTAGACATTGGCGTTTATTTTGGAGGAATTGGCGGTTTCCGAAAATAGGGAACCCACCCCAAATACGGTACCCCTAATTTTCGGAAACTCCGAATTGTTGCAGAGGTTTTAAGGCGTTTAAGGTGGAAGATTCGAGGCTGAGAATCTCAAGGCCTGGAAGCTGTCGGTGGAGCCGAGCTATCCGCAAGTCGCTGGCTCAGTTTGAGGTTTAGGGCTCAGTGCGGAAATTTCAAGGAAGGCTTATATAACCCGACACCCGCCTCTTGAAGCAAGGGCTGTACAGGTGCAACTTCCCTGAGGACGAGCATCGCTTCAGGGGATCTGGGGAACTTCACTACACTTGGACGCTCGTTTGACTGAGGTAGGATGGGTTATAACCTTGTATGGGGATTGTGGAGAGCTCCCAGAAAAATACTATGTAATTACACGTGCATACACCCGTCAAGCTGAGTCTGACAGACTCTGGGTACATCATCTACCATAGTTCGTCTTTCGACAAATTTCTATAGCTCTGCCACGCCCTCCCCCATTGAACGAAAAACATTATAAATGAAGGAGGTGCAGATCATGAGGCTTGTCCATCGCAAGCTGGCTTCGGAGATGTAAACACCAACAACCCCCTACCGGAATCTGGGATTGTGAATTTGTTGCTGGCTCGGGCTGGAAACCGCTTGAGGGCATGATCTTTTGAAGGCTAGTACCCACATGTAGAAGAACCCTCAAACAAGGTTTGGTGCTCTGAGCCTGAAAGGTCTTACGGACCAAAACCTCATGGCACAGTCGCTTCAGGTTCGGGTCCGCGCCATAGTGCATGTACAATATGGCTATCCCACAATGTGAAAGCACTCTCCACTCCAACTGCCCGACGCAGAACCACGATTCTCATGTGTATCTAGACTTGGGATGAGGTTCAAAGTGAGATGTCGAAGCCCCTAACAGACGCCGTAAGAAGAACGCCTGACTACAGTAGAGGGTCGCATGGCAACGAAACTCAAGCTCCTACCCTGGACCTTATAACCTAAGCCAATTCCTCAAGTGCCTATCCGAAGGCCGGAGGAAAATCATTCCTAAGCAAGCGTCTGTGCCCGAAAGCACCGTCTGCCCTAAGCCCGATCTGCGTAAGAGGTCGCCGTCCCCGTTCCACCATAGCATAAGGATACTATGGTCATTCCGACCTCTAAGACTCTATGTTGCTTATGCAATCCTAGCCCATGCCACGCACAAAGGCACGGGCGCATCCACATCGGCTGGCTCCACCTTTCATCTGTGGGATTTGTGACGGGGGCACCAGGGTCTTTTGAGGGCTCTTTATGGGTTTGGAGCCTAGACCTTCGTAAGACAGAAGCACAGCAAACTCCTGAGTACGTAACGCTGCTTTGCGGTGATCAATCCTGCATGTTTCGCTTGACCAGCCCCGTTCAGCGAGGGCTGCAATGCAAAAACATGCAGAGATCGCTGGCAGGTTTTTGGGGTCCCATGGTAGCTGCCCAGAGGCTCCATAGCAGTTCCTTTTTGGGGATTCATATTTAGAATCCTATAAGGTACTCCCAAAAAGGAACTACTATGGAGCCTCTGGGTATGCCAGCAATGACAGAATGCAAAGCTGGACCTGAGCAAGTCACTCTCCAGGATGAACCCTTTTCCCCGAACTCAAGCTGATGGGTATGAGCACCACGCCGGACTTTGCGATGGAGGTTGCGTGACCTGCAGGAGATATATGTAGTCTAGGATGTTGCTCAATCTGAGGTCCGTGGCTGGGCTTCGGACTGAAGTTTGGGTGAACCCTGAACCCTAAATCCTCAGATCTGGCGGCTCGCGACCACCCTTCTGCCTGGGTCCCGCAAGGCTCAGGAGAGGTGGTGTAGATTGATGCAAGCCTTGCTCCCATTCCTACCGATTGCAGGGGCCCTGAACCAGCAAACCTTCGGAACATAAAGGTCTGAATAACTCCGAAAAAACTCCCCTCGTAGCCCCTTAAGGCCATAGTATCCGAGGCCCCCAAAACACCGATGTTGCTGTTCAGGCTCCTACATAAACCAGATCGCCAGTCTTGCCAACCTTGTTGGATGTCCCAGTCGCAGGTTGGATGCCAACCCACGAAACAGTGGTTCTGTAAGGTTAGGCTTATAGGGTTCAGGCTTCTACAGTTTAGGGTTCAGGAGTTGAGGGAAGCAACCTACGAAACAGCAAGAAACGACGATGTTGGAGGAAACCATTCCTACAGGAATTACCTGTGGGGCACAAAAACATCCTAACTTTTTAGGGAATCATACGTATAGAAACTAAACCCTGAACAGGTAGGTCTTTGCGGCTACAGGTAGAATGCAGCCGGCAGCCCCAGCCCAGACCCGTCCTAGTGCACCCAAGTGAAGCAAGAAACCAGGGTCGTGAGCGTTGAGCTTTGATCTGAAGAGGCCGAAACGCTAAGGAACCTTGAAACAGAACTAGCAAGAGGGCTTGACTCCATGATGACGGTGTGCGTATGTTACTTCTTGGAGCCCCCTTCACAAAGAACACAAACACTGGGCTCTTCTGCCTCGGTGTCGAAGACGGATGCAGCCTGGTAAGGACTTCGGGTTTCAGCTTTAGTGCTGTACAAGAGGGGCTACATGGGTGTTATGATGCTCTTCCGAGGGGCCTGAATACGTAGAACGGTTAAGGGTTTAGGGGCTTAGGGTTCAGATGTGAGGTATACAGATACTAAATATGGTGAACTGTGCGTTACTATCAGGAACTCCAAGCTGCGTTTTGTTAGTACTGATTCAGGCTACGATATTATGTCGGGCAAGCCGAGAAGGGGCAGAACACATGATCGATTTCCTCTTGGTGGATCTGTTGCAACACAACAGTAGAAACCCATGAATGCGACTAAAGCTCTGAACCGACATGAAACTTACACCAGTGCTTAGATGCTCCCGGCTCCCCCCCACCGCAAAAAAAAACAAAAAAAAACACACCAACCCCTAAACCCTTTAAACCTTACACCCCTCGTCCCTGCAAACCCTAAACAGACGAACCCTGGAACCTGAACCCTCAACTTGGACCCGACAAACCCCAAACATTCAAGCAGGAAACCGTGGCCCTGAACCCCAAACCACTAGAGCCCCATACCTTAGAAGGGGCCCCCACCCTGTAGTAGTGACTATAAGGACTATATTAGGGCCCTATTATTTCCTATTATACCACTTTGGGGGCCCCTCCTAACCCATACCGTTACAGAATCCGTACATTCTCCTTCTAGTATTTTTTCAGAAACCCTCATGGTACCGTTTCAGAAGCCTTCTCTAATGCCCGGTCGAAACAAGAACATGTATAGCACCCTTAGCTCGCTCAACCCTTAATTGAACTAAAGCACACTTAGAACCCTAATAACCACAATGCCTTCAATAATCCCTTGGAGCTCATGTTTCAATACCGTGGCAAGAGCCATAGTCAAAATACGCATGTCATTATTCAAAAAGGCAAAATCACAAGAATATCCATAATAGTAGTAACCATAACACTCGCACCAACAAAAATAATAACAATAGTAAACGACGATGGCCGCGATAATGAACTTGTGGTCGTTATCGTCTTCATCATGATCATCATCATCAGCAACAACAACTGTATCATCGTCACCATCTCCATCATCATCACCATCATCATAAGCATCATCACCATCACAAACAGCAATAATAACAAACACATCGGTGATCAGACTACGATAATATTAATAACAGCAGCAGCAATAATGTGAACAGCAGCTGTTGTCATGACTAATATAAAAAACAGAACAAGCAGTAAATAGTAAACAATGCAGGAACCTGATTAAGAAATCCAAAATAGCAGGATTCATACAAGGAGCCCTAACAAAGGCCCAAGGTTTCTTAATCAGGTTCCTACATTAACTCTTAAGATCACTGGAAACCGAGGAGGCCCAGCTCGCCTGAAGGGAGCTGGAAACCACATTGGGCCTCGGATACCGTGCTAAGATGGCGGGTCATCGAACTATTCAAGGCGTCGGGCCGGGTTTAGGGGTTTGGGATTTGGTATGTTGGAATTACTCGGTTGGGGTTTAGGGGATTGGAGGAGCCTCGGGATATTGAAGCTGGGGCTTGGAGTTCAGGGTTTGATGAAGATTTAGGCTTAGGGTGTTCGAACTGCTCAAATTGGGGAGGGCTTAGATGGTTACTTACAGTCTCTATATTTCTGCCTGCGGGTCGTCAGCTTCGCTGTGCTAAGCTGATTAGGAACCCTCCCAGGATAGCAACGTAAGTGAGCTGAAAATGGCCACAGGTGACATCGGCATAAGATCTCTGGAATACTGATGCGTTTGGGGTTCTTCTGTTTATGACACATTCACCCTGTCGGACCTTCGTTGGGGGTTCAAGCCGGAGGCAGTCGGGACCGCGGGATGCCGGAGTGGAGGTTTCACTCGGTTCGAAACCGCGGGATGTCGGAGATCACGTTCTATAGGGCTTGGGGTTTAGATGCAAGCGAATGCAACCCTTCCCCCTAACGAGTCCAACCACCTAATAATCACAAACCTAATAATCACAAGTTAAGCTCGACTAACTAGTAATATACCATCCTAGACCCAAATACCTAAGTATCGGCTCGCTCCGACCCTTCAAGTTCACTGAGGGGCAAATGTCCCTCCGCCCTCTCGGCGTTGGACAGCGCCGGATCGAGGTCCGGTGCCTTCTGCTCGACATGGCTAAGCCAAGCCTTGCAGAGGAACCAGACCAGGGACAGAGGGCTGAGGGTTGAGAATTCTATAGGCTTTAAGGTTTAAGGTCTAGGGTTTCGGCTTTAGGGGCTCTAGAGCTAAAGTCGGGAAGTCAAAGGGATAGTATATGATCAAGTCTTCAGCCTCTTCGTTGCAATCACGCGGCGGGCCTTTTTAAGGCCAGCGTTCGCTTGTTGTTTTCAACTTGGGGAGGAGGGACTGGGACGAAAGCTAGAAGCGTTAACAATCGAGGCCTTGCCAGCGAAGCCAAGCATGCATACACGCCAACGGCCCGGTTTTCCACTCAGAAGCGGCTTCACAGAAATTTGCGGAGGCGGAAAACCAGACGCGCCACTGTCGATTTGAATTGACTGGAAGTTTACGAACAGTGGGGGGGAGGATTTTAGTGGCTCTCACTAGGGGTTCAGGAGTTAGGGTTATGTAATTGCGGTTCAGTAGGCGTTTAGGGGTTAGGGTTTATGTAGCAGTCTATAGGGTTTGGGGCTTAGGGTTTGGGTTTTACGGTTGAGGGGTCAGGGGTACTTACCGGGCCGTATTTCCAGGGAATCTTGCAATTTGGGAAGGGGCGTGTATCGGGGAGGTCGTCTTTGCGTAAACTCCCGGCGGAACTCTGGCTTGAAGCAGTGAAAGAAGAGATTCGTGCCGCAGTCAAGAGCTTCGAACCCGGACGTTGGAACTCTTTGCAGAAGATGAATAGGAGTCAAGCAGGGGCAACGCCTTGCCTGCGGTTTTAGCGCAAGCACGACTGTGCCATGCCGAGCAGGGCCGTCGGCAGCTGCTGTAAAGTAGGAGGCGGCAGGTTCTCCAAGGAACGTGCATATTGTTCTCGGTGTATTGCCCAAGCTGCGCAAGACCTGCAGGAGGTATTGGGTTGCGCAAGCACGGGGTTGGGGTTTTGTTAGTTCCTTGGTTTAGGTTCGCATTTTGGGCAAAAGGCCTGCAGCATCGATCCACGGTTGTTCACGAGCTGCATGTGCGTTGCAGGTGAGAACAACCGATGTAATGGCATTGAGCAGGACGTCTTTCGGGCGGGCGTCCAAGTCTGGCACAGAAGTTGTTTGGCTCGTAGGCCAGGACCACACTCGACCAGGCGCTCGTTGCACCGCCTCGTCAGCTGCAGGATTAAATGGCGACTGCTCGGAAGCCAATTTGCTAAGCTGACACCAGAAAATGCCACTGAGTTGCCGCGTGCCAATATAACAAAGACGACCGGTCCAGGCGATGGGTCCATTGACAGACGTGTTTGCTGAGGAATCTGTTGTCCGAGAGGATAGCCGTGGCGCAGGGCCGTGTAGTGGAAGCGCGCGGCACCCAGAGTCGCTTGAAGCGCACGATCAGAGCCTCCAGGAAGTCCAAATATTCTTCCTGGGTGTCTGTCCACTCGGTCGGGCTGCTCAATTCTTTCCTGGATCGCCTCGTTGTCGGCAATGGCAGGCTGTGGCGTTGAGCGAAGGCTGTCACCATTTGGCAGTATTCTCGTTGGTCTTGCTGTGTGGGTACTGCACGGACTGCAGCAGTGTCGCTGTGGAACTTTCTTAGCCTCGGGCAACAACGAAACCCAGGCGGGGGTTGGATCAGTGAGGGGGTGGAACAAAAAACATGTGGTCTGGCGGTCGAGGAGCTCGCAGGAGATATGCTGCAGGTCGACGAAGCCGAATAACGTTTCCCAGCCGGGCAGGTGCAGATGTATCACAGCGTGCGCGCTAGGCAGCAGTTGAAGAAAAGCACGCTGGATGGCCTGCGACCGTCTGGCAACATGAACGGTTCAGGGTTTAGGGTTTAGGCTTCAGGGTTTAGGGTTTAAGGGCTAGGTTTCAGGGTTTTAGGAGCAACGAGAAGGAACATGCGCGCCCTATGGGACAGCAAGCGCACATCGCGAACATCATTGGGGGCCTCTTGGATCCCAATCCGAGCCAACAGCCCGCATCAGGAGCATCATTGGGCGGCTTCTTGGCGGGCCAACAAAGGCGCATCATGAGCATCATCGGAGAGCCGTTTTTGGAGTCGGAAGCACCAGCTGGGGAATAGCCCCAATATACAAGCAAAAAATGCCCACCTGGGCGGGGGCCCTTCCACACCGCTAGATGCAACCTTTCGGTTGGCAAGGAACTCAGCTAGCCACGGAGGCTAGCTTTCGTGATTTTTTCGGCCGATAGCTTTGGGTAGTTATAAGAGGGCTTATAAGTCCCCTAATATGGGTCATAAGTATAGTTACCTTACTTTTATGAGGGTGGGCGTTCTCCTACATTGTTACTCGAGCTAGAAAAAAGGAGCCCTATGCGGCAGCTTTCCTAATCATTCGCAAACTTCGCTTTTAAGCGTTGTGTTCGAGGATGGTGCCCTTAATCATTGAGTTTTGGGGCCCATTGTGCTATCATTGTAACGAGGAACCCCCAAAATAGTATTGAAAAAGATGAAGGCCCCCAAAATACCAGCAAACAGGCTCTCCGTATCATCTCCAGCTTCCTGGATGCAAGACCGAAGGACTCTGAGCAACTTGCAGCTTGCTACATCCTTCTGTTCAAAAGCAGCCAATGATACCCCAAACCCTAAACCGCTGTGCTTCTGGAACCTAGTTCTTTTTCAATAACAGGTGCACTTGAGACATGCAGCGAAACCACGAAAATCCTTCAATTCCTCGAGCCTCGCGCTCCCCAAGCTCTAATATGTTAGGACGGCACGTACGGCAACATGCTTTTCTCAAACTTCTCTACCGAGGATGATGCCTGCGAGGTTTCCACGCAGGGTGAAGAGGTCTTTATTGATTTGGCTCGGCTCCCGCATTCCAACCCCGCCACGAAAGCACACTGGATGTAGGATCGTATCCAAAACCCCCTGAACGCTGAACTCCTAAACCCGTTATCGCCCGAAACCCCCAACACTTCACTCACCTTCCGGAACTTGCCAGAATCTGCATAGGAAACTACTCGCACCTCGATAACCCTAAAACCTACGCGCCCTAGACCACCGAAACCCTGAAGCCCTAACACCGATATCCCAAAACCTGAACCCCTAGTTCAGGTTTTACAAACATCAAAGTCCTCAAACTCGCCACGAATACCGGTGCAGGCCTGCCAAACAGCAGGCCGATCGCCCTGAACGCTCACTTTGCCTGCCGCAGGCTTAGAAGGCTCCTATCCGACCAGAAGCTGTTGGGTTTAGGTTTCTTTTTTTAGGGTTTAGGATTTAGGGTGCTCCTATGAAACCAGAAGCTGTTGGGATTAGGGCTTGGGCTTGGAGTTCAGGGCTTGGATTCCTTCAATTTGAAGAACTATAGGTTTCAGGTGAACACAAGAGCTGTGGAGTTCGCCTGTCGAATGTTGTAGGTTGGGACCTGGGCTTACGGTTGGGTTGTTATGGTGAGCCCCGTGTGTTAACTGGCGCATCCTTGAGTAGCCTGCTTTGCATCAGCTCACGGGCCTTAACAATTAGAATAGGGTTTGGGGTCCAGTACACTACAAATATAACAAGGAACGCCCAAAATCTAAGTAGGTCCAACACCAAAGTGTTACTAATTGTTCAGGTCCGGATACTACGTGATTGAGAATAGTGCATACTGCGGAGCTTGACTCGGTTTGCCACAATGAGGGTATATGGCAAACACGATGCTTTCCTTGTACAGCCAAAACTAGGCTCCCTAACAAGAGCCCATAGGGCCTGCCATAGGGTCTGAGGTGCAGACAACTTAATACGGTGAATCAGACCTTTGGGAATCGACATCTGCTTCGGATGCCAGTTAGCTACATACTGATGTAGTGGAGCATCATTATCCGTTTCCTCCAATCCACTGCGACTGTGTATGTACATATACACACACACATACATATATACATAATTATACTTATATATATATATATACACACACACATGCGTGTGCATATGTCCATGTATGTATTGATATGTATGTTTATGTATATGTACATGCCTTACATGTGCTGTACTCGTAAACCAGTAACCTACCCGAAGGGAATGCTAACCTACAGCACTACTATCCTGAGACAAAGAACCTAATTGTTGGGTCCGTTCGACACGTTTTGCATTGTCTGTGTACTTGGAGGATCAAGGGATTTCGCTGCTAATCTTATTGTATATGACGCATCGCTATTAGAATACAGTCATCGTATTTATGACCCTAGCTAGTAACCCCATGATCCTTTATGCCTTAATCCCTTATAGATCCTAACTTATAGGAAACCTAGCGACAAACTCCTATTGGGGATTGCAATTATAATTAGTAGAATACACCCCAAAGCCCCATTCTAACTTGTAAGGCCCCGAAATTAGTTTCATGCCAGTTCTCCTGCCATGTCTTGCTTGACATCTCTGTATCCGGTCCGGCATGAAGTCTACCCCGCCTCCAATGGCACGAGATCCGGCCAACAACCTTGCTGGTAGGTTAAGGAGCAGGGGTTTGGGGTTTAGGGGCTGCTGGTCTTTATGCAGGTTGGCTGAATTGACTTTCGGCTTGTTTCGACCCGGCTTCCGTCCTAATGGAGTTCGGAGTTCCAACAAGTTGAACATTACCTAAGGTAAATCACACTGAGAATCTCAGTAGAATGATCCTTGACCTGCCAAAACCTTTGTCGGTTCTTATTACCTGAGCTTCAAACATGGATGTTATAGGCCGGGATCCTACAACAGAAGTAGGTTCTGGTAGGTTAAGGATTATAGGCTCCAGACGCTAAGTTACCCCTGTAGGATGATCCGTCAAGGCTCCATGCACAGAGCACCAGACATTTCTAAAGCCTAAATACACGCCCGCTTAAAGATTCGGGCTTTATAGGCATCAAGGTCTACGGTTTAGGGTATTGCATGTAGGACGTCAGGTGACGAATCACAGTCGCAGACCAACCTAAACCCTAATGTTAGTGTAACTCGCGCGGCAAACCAAAATGCCTTTCATCTGCAAATCTGCATGCTGCACCCTCAACAACCTCCAAGTCACAAAGCCCAGAGGCGCAAGCTTTAATCTATCCTGAATCCGGCTGCAAAGCTGAAACGCGACTGATATGTTAATCTTTTGAACAGGGTTTGGGGGTATATGTGATGAGAGAGCTGCATAGAAGGGTACTTGTGTTACAAGTGATTCGAAGAACCCTAAACCCTAAACCCTAAGCCCGCAGCCCTAGACCCGAGCCCTCAGTGCGATGCCACACGACAACTGCGAAGTTTGATCGCAGCAGGACCTTGGATCCGCTAGAGGCTGATGCGAACCTTCCAGAACTAACTGGGACTTTCCGAAAAAATAGGGGACCCCAATGTAGTACCCTAAGTACTAGGATCCTTATTATAAGGACCCCAAAATAAGGTACCCCAACTTTTCGGAAACTCCCAACTTCGAACACTCCTGAATCTCGGGCTTTCATATCAGCTTTGTGCTTTTCAGGAGTTTGTGGGCTCTATAGTAGGCTTTAGCACAGGGGTCGTAACGCTTCTGTGGCTTCTTTATCGCATAAGCTTCTCGGGACTCCACTAGTTCACTAGGTCAGCGGCGGCAAGAAGTCGGCCTGTAAATAATCTGGGGGCCTGCGGGCAAACACACACGATCAGTAGACAGGGCTGATAGAGGAACACACGTCGCATTTGTTCTTTTAGGAGCTGCAGGGGCCACAAAGGTTTAGCGTCGGCAGGTGTGGATTCATGCAAAGTACGGTTCAGTATATATGATCCTGCATTTTTCAGCGGGGCCGAGTATGCTCAACAGTGACCATACCTATAGTCTCCATTGTAGCTCCTTTTTTGGTTCAACTAATTGTATATTAAGGATCCTATAAGGCAACCCAAAGAAGGAACTACAATGGAGACGATAGGTAATCAGCTGAGTTCGCCTTGGCAGGCTGTCAAAGTTCATGCTTTCGGGTTCAAGGCTGGGGTCTTGTTCAGGCAGGTTAATTCCCATTATATACAGAAACCATATTATTTTGCATCTACTATAATTCCCGAATATAGCATAATTTCAATGAATTTCCTGGACGAGAATCCAGAAGGGATTAGTGAAGAGCCCGCTGAGTCATGCACAACCCGCATGTCCGGATGTTGGTACACCGGGTGCAAGAGGAGGACCTGGCAACACTTCTTCCGTGTCGGGCTTAGCACCGTGATCTGAAACCTTAAACCCTAGCAGATACCCTAAACCCTCCTAAACCCACATTTCCAGGTCTGGGATGCGAACAATGCTAGGATGGCCTCCTGGACCAGCCCAACCCTACAAAGAGTCTCCCTAGGGCTCCAGTTATCCAAATAGTAGGTTACTGGGGCATATAATATATGACAAAGGGTTTTTTCGGGCTGCATGTATCTAAATAGTAGGTGACTGGGGCCTATATATAGCATATGGTTAGTAACCTGCTAATTTTCGGCAGGTCCGATCTTCAGGGAACCTGCTTTCATGATGCGACGCGTGGGACCGGGTTATAATAACTCTGACCTGTGGTTAAGGACAAAGCTTTGCGACCTTACTTGAC